TTATGGCTTGAGCTCACTACATGGAATATGCATATGCACACATGTCCATCTCTACATGGTGCCGACCTTGACCACAGTCTTTCCACCTCGTTTTCTCACTTCCGGGTGCAGCCCAAAGGAGCAGGATACGTGGATGAAGGCAACCTCAGATCGATATATATGGACTCGAACGGGCATGCTCATGATGCTAATAAGAGACCCTGTGATCACCCAGTGAGGGGATCGCATTCTCCGAATCGATAACCCGGAGTATGTAGAGCTTCAGCAGCTGGAAGTTGAGGCTAAACTCCTGGTCAATAGCCTGCCAATTGTTTGAGGGAGGGGGTCAAAACACCTTGGTGACCCGAATGCTTCTAGAAACCACACATGTACAGTGCCTTGCCACCTGTCACGGTGCCATGGTCGAGGAAACTGTGTTCCTAGGATGTGGACTTCGAGTCGAAATCATTAAGGAATTCACCATGTCACATGCACATGCAGCAAAGCTTCATCGTCCTGGCGGATCGCCTCAGTCTTCTTCTCTTTATCCATAAACTCCTTGAGTGCGTCGGCGATGCGCTCGGCTCCCGCCTGGTCAAGATATCGATGTTTGATCCGATTAAGGACTGTGCATGTATAGCTAGTGCAGACTCGGCTCTGAGAGGAAGTACTTCATCGGCTGCTCATATCGCGACATGGCAATAAGTCGATCGTCAAAGCTAGCAGGCTAGCCTTTAAAGCACATGTGCACAGCTCTAGTGATGCGGTGATCATGCATGACTCCGGGATCACATGAGGATGGAGCGATGCATGATCGAGTGCACTTGAGCAGAAGAAACTTGCTCATGTGTATCTGATTAATGCACACGCATGCGCCCTCGCATCCAACAGCAGCGCAAGCCTGAACACAACGGTGCACGGGGGGGGGCATGCCTTCTCGAAGAAGCTTTCGTCGCTTCGCATACAGCACTGATTGCTTCAGCATGGCGTGAAAAACATGCAATCCTAATTTCAAATCTGATGATCGTGATGCTCGATCATGTCCTGCAGGGCTTAGGGTCAAGGGTTTGAATAACTAGTACTAGCGGGTTTGTGTACCATGGCCAGGCGTTACTGCTTGCAAGCCTGCACAAACTTGAAAGGATTTAGGGTTTGGGGTTGAGGGTTTAAGGTCTATGGCCAACGATTGGACATATCTGAATCTGTTGCACAAACTTGAAAGGATTTAGGGTTTGGGGTTGAGGGTTTAAGCTCTATGGCCAACGATTGGACATATCTGAATCTGTGACCCCATCGGCCATGACATAATACCTATGATCCAGAAATCCAGCAGCATGGTTTTGTGGACCAAGACATCTCTGGAGACAAAGTCTCCCGTGAGCACAAATAAACCTAAATCCTCAAATAGGCACTACTCGGACCCTCAGGGTAATTGGTAAAACCCAAAAAAGGAACTACAATGGAGACTATAGGTAGAACGTGCGGCTAAAACTCTGGAGGCTTCAAGCCTGAGATGTCAAGCACAAATGCTACTTATGCCCCCGAAGAAGGTACCCCACCGACCAAAATATCACTCAACGAAGTCGTCGAAATCCTTCCTTATACATAAAACCCACAAAACCCCTGACTGACTCGAAGAAACGACCCCATACCGGTCTTTGTGCCTGATGTCCATGGACTCCATTAGTCTCTGAAAGCCATCCATGCTGTCCTTAAGTCTTTTGAGGTATCTTGATCTGTTTCAAAGGTTCAGGGTTTAGGGTTTAGGGGCTTGGAAAAGGATAGGGTTCATGTCGTTCAGATCTAGTTTCGGGGTCCTAGGGTTTACAGGGCTTAGAGTTCACAAGGGGTTTGTTGTTTTCTGGCTTTCGAACCTGGGGTCACCCCCCTTCAACCGAGACCCGACACAGAGGGTCGTCTACAAGGGGTAAATACCCACACTTAAACCCTAAACCCTAAACCCTATACCCTAAACCCTAAACCCTAAGCCGTATACCCCTAAACCCCAAACCCAATACCATAAGACAACAGGAAACCAAGGCTTCGACCTCCTTCGCGCGAAGCTGGAGTAATGTAGGGGCATTGATAATTAGAAAAAGGTTTTGGGGGGGTTCCCTTAAAGGGTTCCTTAAAGGGTTCCTTAAAGGGTTCTATAAGGGTTACAATAAAGGTTTAGGGTATAGGGCCCTTAATAATTAGAATAGGGTTTTGGGGTATGTTCTGCTATATGTAACAGGGACCTCCCCAAAATGAAAGGGGTAACTATTTGGGCCCCTATGTTACATGAGATGTTGGGGTTTATGACAAGACGCTTACAACAAAGTCTGCGATGGTGGCCCGAGGTATGTTGGTAAGCTTCGGCAGGGGCACCTTGAAGCCCTAAACCCTAAACCCGGCCTGCGAGGTTTGATTGGTTTCGGGTTCGGCGAAAGTCGGAAGGGCTTCATGCTCTGACATGGGTAGCGCTCTTGATTAGGGTCCCTTTTAGGGTTTAGGGTTTAGGGTGCCGTAATAGTTAAGACTGTTTTGGGGACCCAAAAAAGGGACCTTGATTGAGAGAACTACCCACACTAACGACAAGCACCTCATGTTCATCAACATCTGAAACCCTGGTCCACACGATAGGTCGTCAGAGCAAGCACCCCAAGCCCATAGTGACCCATATGGGGTTGAGCCCTGAAGAATGCAGATTCTTGGTAAGGTGCAGGGCTTATATAGGTTCAGGGTTTAGGGCTTTGGGGGCGATAAGGTCTTGGTCCCAGTTACTAATTCAGCTTTAAGGCTTCCGAGGTGTGCGGTTTACGGTTTAGGGTTTAGGGTTGAGGGTTTTGGGTTAGGGTTTAGGGGTTTCCTTTCTCAGGTGGATTGGCCAAGCGGCGAATCCGTTCAGAATCTCTTCCAAGGACATCAACCCGTTTCCATCATCGTCCAGACCAGCACAAAGCTTTGCCAGCTCCTGATTTGTAGAACTTAGGGCTGGTCAAGGGGTAGCAGCACAGGTTCTTTGAAGGTTCGTATGTGGTGCAAACTTGGGGTGTTTGTACGACGTGTAGGAGCGAGGATGTGCGTTCACCGTTTACCTGAACCCCCGAAAGTTCGTGAACCTATAACAAGCAATTATTCTACATGCTTGAGCATTTCGGGCTTAGGGTTCTGGCATTAAGCTTGAGGGCAACAGCACTACGCACTGCAAAGCCATTCGGGACCCCTGACTCACATCCATGGCTGCGCGGCCATGTCCACTGTACCGTGAAAGCTGACAGGACCCAGAAAACCCAATACCCCTTAATTAAGGAATATACCTCAAATCATAATATTAAGATCCCTGCAACTTAAGGTATATTTCTTAATTAATGATCTACCTTAAATCATAATATTAAGACCCCTGTAACTTAAGGTATATTCCTTAAGTAAGGTGTATTGGGTTCTGTGGGGACGGTGTCAGGTTTGGCTTTGACAAGGTATTTGAGTCGGGTTGGGCCCCATCGCCCAGCAAATCGCCCAAGAAGACAGGGTCTATAGGGTTTAGGGTTTAGGATTTAGGGTTTGGGGTTTCGCCTGCCCTTTTGGGGTTTAGGGTTAGGGTTTAAGGGTTTAGGGTTTATAGTGTTTATGATTTAGGATTTCGGGTTTGGGGTTTAGGGACACTCCCAGAACCCAAACGAACACGGAACATGGGCCTAACTTAACTGAGTTGTAGTTTTGGGGCCCTGAAAAGTATTTATGAATAGGCACCTCGACAGAAACCATAAGGGAAATTTTAAAGTTTCCCAAATTGCCACCTAGTTAACTAGGAGAAGGACTACAAACCCAAGCCCTCTCTGAGCTTGCATGGAGGCACATGGCGATTCCAAAACTAGGAATCCGTTGGTTACGCGCCCCCTTTCGTTTCAAGATTCAAGTACGTGATTATGGGGTCTTGGGTTCTAAGACCAACAACCTAAGCCCTAGTCACCTCTGCATCTCTCCTCCATGTTTTTTGTCCTCTCCAGGTCTTTCACCTTCAATTTCTGGGCTTCGTCGTTGTTCTGAGCTTCAGCCTGCCAGAGTATTCAGAACTTGGGGATCCAATTTAGAGGTCTCTCTAATTAAGGTTGCCTTATGAAGTGGGTGGATCTTTCGGGGCTCCTACAGTGCTCTCTTATGCTTCTATCTCTTGGCACACAGCTTCATCCCAGAATTCGGGCTCCCTGCCCCTGCATGGCGGATCCCCCTGTGAAATTTTCAGCAATGAGACTCTGTCCATGTAAGGGCCTTGAAGAAATCGAGTCCATGAAACCGGGGTCTAGAGTCGAACGTATGTGGACTCTGATGTTGTAAGGCCGTTAGCGACCCGGAAACGGGGGGGGGGGGTGGGGGGCGGTACCTTCCCCATGGTGTCAGCATGTCATAGAGATCTGCCTGAATCTGATGCAGAGCCACCTTCCCCTAAGGGTCCATGTATCCAAATAGTAGATACTTTGGCCTTAAAGTAGTCCCTATTTGGGTACTTTGGGGCCAACGTATCTACTATTTGGGTACATGGACCCTTAGGGTTCTGATATCCCACGAAGCGCCTCCCATTAAACCTTAAACCCGAAACCCACGAAGCGCCTCAACCCAAAGTCGTAAACATCCATTAAGGGTTTAGGGTTTAGGGTTTAGGGGCCATTGAAACCCTGCAGCCCAACCTGAACTTGAAACTCGCTGGCCCTCTAGCATACGGGCCTTGTTGATTAGAGAAGGGTTCTGGGCCTATGGGGTATATTCTGATAGTGCGGTTATAATTACTAGGAACCCAAAGACTATGTTATGTAATTGCTTCTTTAGGCTTCGATCCGAAATATCTTACCCTCGAGGCCGAAAAGTCCCTGTCACACGATCTCATTGTGACAGGATGCAGCCCTCTCCACTATGACGGCCAAGATGAGATTCCTAAGCTGCGACGCACAGTACTTGTCCCAGTCTTACGAAAAGCTTGGTTGCGATTGGCACTAAACATGCTACGGTTCCGAAAGGATATGTTACAATTGTGGCCATTATTGGCCGTCGCAGTCGCTGACGCCGTCGTTCTCTTGTTCGTATTCGTCCTCGCTTCTGGCGGTGGTGCTGGTGGTGGTGGAGATGATGGCGGAGGTGGTATTGAAAGTAAGAAGAATAGGAATAATACTCATAACAATATAACGCGTAACGCAGCATAGAGCAACATGGGGCAAAGGGCTGGGTCGCTAAATTGACTTAATTTGTGACGACTGCGGTCGCTAATTTCAGAGATTTTCGAGGTGATGTCGCTATAATTTGCACAGTAAAAATACTAACAGCAATAAGTGGTCTCAAAGCCTGGAGACCTTCTGACCCTAAACCCGATGTCATCCTAAACCGCAAGCAACCTGACCTAGCCATCTAAACCCCAAACCCTAAGCCCAAAACCGATAAAGCCAGACTGTAGAACCCATTGACGGAAGCCTGAATACTGAACCCTAAAACCATCAAAACCCTGAGCCCTAAGTTTTGCACCATTGTAGAACAACCCTTTAGAAGAACCCTGAACCCTACACCCTAAACTCTGAACCCAAGCACCATGACCAGTGTAGAACCCTTTAAAGACACCCGAAACTCACTCACTCACTCGCATAATGGTACGTCCAGAGCGTCTAAGGCATGCAAGCTCCAAAAGCGAAGCCGCTATGGCAAACGCGGAGCAGAAAGAAACAAAGCGTCCAAAACTCCAACACCTAAACCCTCAAACCACGAAAATACTGATCCCTAAGCCCTAAATCTAAAACTCCAACGCCCCAAAACCCTCAAACCACGAAAACCCGAACCACCCACGGCTCGCCGAGGATCATAACTCCCAGGGAGACCTTGGCTCAAGATGACAAGGCCTAAACCCTGTACCCCAAATACCAGGGCGTGGTGTTCTGAAACCCTAAACCCTACACCCTATATCCTCAACTCTATACCCTAAACCCTATACCCGATACCCTCAACCCTAATCGGGTCAAGGGCTTCGGGTCTCAGCCCCTACGCCCTACCTTGGGGTGTAGGGTATTTGATTTAGTAGGGTTTAGGGTTGAGGGTTTAGGGTTGAGGGTGTAAGGTGAGCCCAGGGTCGAGAGGGATCTCAGAGTTCAGTGCTTAAACTTGTTGTGTATTTGAGGTGCTTAGGGTCGTTGGGATTGCAAGATTTGTGCTTTAGGGTTTAGGGTTTTAGTGAAAGTCCGGCATCGGTTCGGGGAGTCGTTCAGTCTTGCGGGCTCCAGCTTGCGCATGCCTTCGGTATGCCAGAGCTCTCTGTCAGAGGGGACAAACGAGACGTTCCTCTGATGCATACACTCGGAATACCGGGCTCGGTCTGTCAATTTGGGCTGTGGTTTCTCGTGCCTCATTGGTCTCAGAATTTGCTTAGGGTATGTGGGAACCCTAACTACATCCTAAACTCAAAAACCCTAAACCCCTAAACCCCTAAACCCCTAAACCCTAAACCCTAAACCAGAGGCCAGCCCCCTACATCCAATGGGCCTTAAAAAGTAGAATAAGGGATTGGCTAAGGGTTCCTTAAAGGGATCTATGAGGGCTACTATAACGGTTTAGGGTATAGGGGCCTTAACAAGTAGAATTGGGGTTTGGGGTATATTATTACTATACTATATAGTCATAATAAGGAGCCCCCGCAAATAGTATAGGTAGATATGAAGGCCCCATGATAGCTCTGTACATCCTGACAGGATAGTCCTCCCAAAACCCGAACCCTAAACCCAAACCTTAAACCGAAGGGAACTCGGCCAGAGTGCTCATGGTACGTAGCCTGAATCCTACCTCGCAAATCGCCAGGCGCCACGGTTTAGGGTTTAGGGTTTAGGGTTTTGGGTTTAGGGTTCTAAATGTCTTAGGGTTTAGGGTTGGGGGGTTCATGATTTAGGGCGTCAGGGTGTAAGAGGAGTTTGGGGTAGTATAGGGGCTTTAATAATTAGAATAGGGTTTTGGAGACCATGATGCTATAACTATATATTAAGGACCCGCCGCCCCCCTCCCCCCCCGCAAAAAAAAAGAGTATCGGTAACTATTCAGGCCCCTATATTATGCTGAAGTGCTGCCCAGGAACACTCATGAGGATGGCAAAGAGGATAAATGCGGCAGGAGGGTGTTCTTTGACCAACGGAACCGAGATCTCACCTGCTTTCGAGTTAAGGTTTGGGACTAGCGGGTTAGGGCTTAGGGGGTTTAGGGTTTAGGGTTTAGGGCTTAGGGTTTAGGGGTTTAGGGTTTTAGGGTTTAAGGATTTAGGTTGCAGGGCGTGGGGTGTAGGGTTTGGGGGTTTGGGTTTACGGTTTCAGATCGAGAACGGACGTCTCCGACTTAAAACGGGATAGAGGTGCGGGACCCGTAGGGTCGAGTTGTGTGGTTATTGTGGATGACCCCAACTTCCATTTGGTCCATCTATTGATAGTAAACTGCAGATGCATTTTCCTAGCTTCTGATTGACGGTGTGACTGTCTGTTTGGTCCTTGAGGTGGATGGGCCCACATGGATGTGGAAGTTGGGGGGCTGGGCGGTGATCGTGACACAGTAGAACCCCTAACCCTACAACCCTAAATCCTAAACGCTGAACCGTAAACCCTAAGCCTCAACCCTAAACCTTGAACCCTAAACCCAGAAGCCTAAATCCTAAACCCCTAGAGCCTGATCTAGTAGGAGGCTCGGAGCTCGATCAGAATAATGTAGGGGACTAAATCATTACCTGTATTGTTCTTGGGATTCCTTAATAAAACTATGCTAGAGAGGAGCCCAAGAACCTATTCTAATTATTAAGGCCCCTATCTTATCGAAGCCCCAGAAATAACCATTCGAACTGAAGAGCTCGCCTACTTAAGTCCTCAGCTGGCCAAGGGAAAGGTTCAGAGTTGGGGGATTTAGTGTTTAATGTAGGGGTCTTAATAAGTTGAATAGGGTTCTGGGCTCCTTTGTAGAATAATCGTAATAAGGAACCCCCAGAATAGTATGAGTAAATTCTTTAGGCTCCTATATTAGGGGCTCGGGCTTTGGAACTTTAAACCCTTATGACCCCCTAAGCCCCTGAACCACTTAACCCTAAACGCCTAAACCCCAAACCCCAAACCCTCAACCCCAGCATCTGAAGGCATTCGGCGTCATGACATCCGAACTCCACCAAGTACCTATATAGGAACCCCTCCAAGTCTTAGGTTCGTACTGAGTAGTTAGACGGTTTCGGGTTTAGGGTTTAGCGTTTTTAGGGTTTAGGGTTTAGGGTTGAGGGGTTTAGGGATTTAGTGTTTAGGGGTTTAGGGTTTAGGGCTTAGGGGTTTAAGGTTTAGGGTTTAGGCTTTAGGGTTTAGGGTTTAAAGGTTTAGCGCTCCCTCAGTCCATACTGTGTAAGATAGGAGTGCCTGTACCTCTCTACGGCCGTTCGGCCAAGGCACTGTTACATGGGTAGGTCTCTGAATTTGTGTCCCTTCTTATTAGGTTCCCAAAATAGTACGGCACCCGTATAAAAAGGACCCGAAAAGGGACGCGAATTTAGAGAACTACGCAAATAGAACCCATAGAAGAAACCCTTATAGATCCCTCTCAAGGATCCTAAAAAGTACCCTACTTTCGAGAACTACGGTCGATGATATAAATCATAAATCCTGCATTACCTTATAAGGACCCTAAACTATGGGAATTATGGTATACTCCTTATTATGGGCACTGCAGGATTTATATCATCAACCCCTAAACCCTCAACCCTGAACCCTAAATCCCTAAACCCTAAACCCTAAACCCCAAACCCTCAACCCTAAACCCCTAAACCCCTTTCCACATGACCGTTGCGGCCAAAACACCCCAAGCGTCGCCCGCCACGATCTGCTGAAAGAGGGTGAGGCCGGCCTGGGGCTCGCGTGGTGTCGGGGTTTA